CCCAAATTCCCTAGATTTCCAATTCCCTAAATTCCCAAATCTCTAGATGCCCAAATTCCCTAAATTCCCAATTCTTCAAATTCCCAAATTCCCTAAATTTCCAAATCTCTAGAACCCCAAATTCCCTAGATTCCAATTCCTTAAATTTCCAAATTTCCTGGATTTCCAATTCCCTAAATTCCCAAATCTCTAGATGCCCAAATTCCCTAAATTCCCAATTCTTCAAATTCCCAAATTCCCTAGATTTCCAATTCCCTAAATTTCCAAATCTCTCGAAACCCAAATTCCCTAGATTCCAGTTTCTAAATTTCCCAAATTCCCTGGATTTTCAATTCTCTAAATTTCCAAATCTCTAGAACCCCAAATTCCCTAGATTCCAATTCCTTAAATTCTCAAATTTCGTAGATTTCCAATTCCCTAAATTTCCAAATCCTTAGATCGCTAAATTCCCTAAATTCCAGTTCCTAAAATTCCCAAATTCTCTGGATTTCCAATTCCCTATATTTCCAAATCTCTAGAACCCCAAATTCCCTAGATTCCAATTCCTTAAATTTCCAAATTTTCTAGATTTCCAATTCCTTAAATTTCCAAATCCCTAAATTACCAAATCCTCATATTCCCAATTCCCTAGATCCCCAAAATCCCAAATTTCCATATCTCTAGATCTAAAAATTCCTAAATTCCCCTATCTCTAAATCCCTAAATTCTTAAAATCTCATGTTCCTAGATCCCCAAATTCCCTAGATTCCCAATTCTCAAAACTCCCAAATCCCTAAATTCCTAAATTCCTAAATTCTCAAATCCCTAAATTCGCAATTCCCTAGATTTCCATATTCCTAAATTCCCATGTCTCTAATTCCTAAAAATTCCTACTCCATCAAATCCCTATATTCCAATATCCCTAGATCTCCAAATTCTTATACCATCAATTTCAATATCCCTATATTCCTACATCCCCACAATATCCCAAATTCCCACATCCCCAAACTCTCAACCCACCCCATATCTTGCGAAATCCTAAAAATCCCTAAAAATCAACTCCTGCTAATTGACCTTTCGTATTAAATACCATCGATTTTCCCTTAGGAAGGCCAGATATTTTCTCAACTCTACTCTCTCTCGGTATTGTACGACAGCTTCCACTTGGAAGGATAATTTTTCAAAGGGAGTTCGCGAGCTGTCCCTTTTCGGCTCGTCTTCGTGTCGCGCAAGAAAAAAGACTAGGCCTGCTGAAAGGCCTGCGTTCCCCACACCTGGCGACGCGTCCGTCAACCCCGCATCCACAAGCTTACCTTCATCCCCCGTCTTTCGTTTACCTTTTTTTTATATCCTTCACGGCCTTTACTTCCGCTTCTTTTTTTCCGAGACAACATTTTTCTGGGCCGATGAAGCATGAGCCACCAACGCGCTAGGGGCATTCTAGGAAGTCGCAAAGAAACACGACACGTTCGATAACCTTTGAAACACGGTCGAAAGGTGCGAACCACTTGTAGCCTCTTGTGTACCCACGTATTTTTATGGACTAGCTGAGTGCTCCGTTGTTAACGCGGATGGGGTTTTCGGTGCAAACAACGTAACTTGTAAATGCAGTTTATGGGCGGACGGTTCGGGGGATACGGTGATATATGGAACTTGGGAAACGATGCCTTTGCTGCAAGGATGTTCATTCGGACTTTCGGTGATGAATTTCGGGGCTTTGATGCGTTCTCTAACTTTTGGTTTTACAAATTTTCAATTTCAGTTTTAAGGTTCTTTGCTTTCTATTTTATTATTTTTATTGATCTTCAATTTTCAAACTCTTATTTTTTTATTATAGAGTTTTCAAACACTCACGTTTTCAGTTTATTAATCTCTGAATTCGCATATTACTCGATTTGCAATTTTAGAATTTTGAGTTCTTCATTTTTCTAACACCTTCATTTTCATTTTTTTCATTTTTAAATCTTTCCATTGTTAATTTTTAAGTCTCCTTAATTTCTAATTCTCTAGCTTCCAAGTTCTTTTATTTTCAATATATCAATTTTTAATTTCCCTATTTTCTGATCAGGACAATTTTGCTAACACCTTCATTTTCAATATTTTAATTTTTAAATCTTTCCATTGTTAATTTTTAAGTCTCCTTAATTTCTAATTCTCTAGCTTCCAAGTTCTTTTATTTTTAATATATCAATTTTTTATTTCCCTATTTTCTGATCAGGTCAATTTTGCTAACACCTTCATTTTCAATATTTTAATTTTTAAATCTTTCCATTGTTAATTTTTAAGTCTCCTTAATTTCTAATTCTCTAGCTTCCAAGTTCTTTTATTTTTAATATATAAATTTTTAATTTCTCTATTTTCTGATCAGGTCAACTTTGCACCTCTCAATTTTTAATTCCCATTCTTTCAAACTTTCTATATTTAATTCAGTTTCTAAGTTCTCAATATTTAATTCGTCGATTTCTAAATACCTTCATTTTCAATTCACCGAATTTCCAATTGTTCTAGTTTAGACCTTCCTATTCTCGTTCTTCAACTTCCAAGTACCAACGAGTCTTCCAATGTTATCAATCTTTCTGAACAATCTTAATTATAGATCTCTTATAAATTTCCGATGAGATCTTGAATAATTTGATTGACCTTAATACCTTCCTAACAATCAAATAAGTAATCTTCTTAAATATCTCATATTTCATCTTTCCTGGATATCGTTGAATTTTATTATTTGACGTATTATTATTTCCTGTATCGAATTTCCGTATCGACATTCTGTAATAAATAATTTAGGTTGGAACTTGCTTATGTTTATTTGGGAATTGGTACATTTTTCATGTCAAATTAACGTACTTCAAATAGAAAAGATACTTCAGTAGAATGATAAAGATACTTCATAGTGAAGATGATATTAAACAGTGCAGACGATCACAATGAAGATGATTTTTAATAGTGAAGATGATACTTAATGACAGTACTATGATTTTAAATAATGAAGATGGTTCATAGTGCAGATGATCTTAAATAGTAAAAATAGTACATAATGATGATCTCAAATAGTGAAGATAATCCACAGTACAGATGATCTTAAATAGTAAAAATAGTACATAAAGATGATCTCAAGTAGCAAAGATGATCCACAGTACAGATGATATTAAATAGTCAAAATAATCCATAAAGATGATCTGAAATAGCAAAGATGATCCACAGTGCAGATGATATTAAATAGTCAAAATAATCCATAAAGATGATCTCAAATAGCAAAGATGATCCACAGTACAGATGATATTAAATAGTAAAAATAATCCATAAAGATGATCTCAAATAGCAAAGATGATCCACAGTGCAGCTAATCTCAAATAGTAAAAGTAATCCATAATAATGATCTCAAATAGCAAAGATGATCCACAGTACAGATGATCTCAAATAACAAAAATAGTCCACAATGATGATCTCAAATAGCAAAGATGATCCACAGTGCAGCTAATCTCAAATAACAAAAATAATCCATAAAGATGATCTCAAACAGCAAAGATGATTCCTAGTACCGATAATCTCAAATAACAAAATTAATCCACAATGATGATCTCAAATAGCAAAGATGATCCCTAGTACCAATAATCCCAAACAACAAAAATAATCCACAACGATGATGTCAAACAGTAAACATGATCATAACATAACATACAATCAGCCGTCTCATGTCTCACATAAATCAAGTCGTAAACAAAACATTGATCCATTAAATCACGCACGATATACATATTCGCACCGCAGAATCCATTCTCCTTTTTTGCGCCATTTCCCGCCATATCGTCCACATATCCATAACCCAGCTGTACACCCATAACTCCAGACACGAGTGTCATTTAATTAATTGCAACACACCACATCCAATCTATCCCTGCAAATCACCTCGTATTCCGCTTCATTTTATCACCTGAGTTAACGACGCTATCATCGACACTTTAACACGTCAATAACGTCTCTTATTAATTTCCAGTTTCCACGTTCTGTGGATTTTTATCGTATGTGGATGTGATCATATGTGTATCATATGTGGATTTGCAAGATTACTGAAAATTTCATATTTGCAAATATTTATTGGAATGATAATTAAAATGATGATGGACAGCTTTTTAAGTAATTGTAGTTAGATGTATATATGTTAGATACACATATGTGGTGTACTGGATACACATATGATTATAGTCAAAATTTAAGTGTATAATTGACTTTTTGTATTATTGTGAGACATTTATGTTCAAATGATGGCAAGCTTCTTAAATTAAAATGATGATAAACAGTTTTAAATAATTATAATTATATGTTCATATGTTACATACACATATGTGATGTATTAGATACACATATGGTTATAGTAAAAATTTAAGTGCATAATTGACTTTTTGTACTATTGTGATACTTTTATGTTCAAATGATGGCAAGCTTCTTAAATTAAAATGATGATAAACAGTTTTAAATAATTATAATTATATGTTCATATATTATATACACATATGTGGTATATTACACACACGTATAGTTATTGTCAAACTTAAATGCATAATTGACTTCTTGCACTACTTTAACACATTCCTGACCAAATGATGGCAAATGGCTCCTCAAATTAAAATAATAATAATAAAGAGTCCTATAATAATTATAATTACATATACATATACTACATACACATATGTGATGAATTACACACATGTATGGTTACAGTTAAATTTAAATGCATAATTGACTTTTTGCACTATTTTAACAAATTAATGGCCAAATGATTGCAAACTCCTGAAATTAGAATAACAATAATAAAGAGTCCTACAATAATTATAATTACACATATGTATACACACATATGTCAATGTATAAATGTCTCATATGTTGCCATAATTGTATCAGAATAGTTGTATTAAAAACTGCATTATTAAGCATTAAAACCTGTCTAACTAGTATTAGAAATGTGTCTCAAATATAAAAAAGTACAAAACACACTTCAACTTAAAAAATCTGATTTACAGACTCGTCCGGTGCTCGACATGAGACAATTACCGTGGACCTCGTGCTTTCTCCAACTCCTTCTGTTGACCTCGTTATTCACCCCGGGTCTGTCGGCGTCAACAAGGTCCCGAGGGAAGAAGAAGTTCGCCAAGGAGACGAAGGAACCCAACATTTGCGCGATCGAAGGCAGACAAGCACCCATTTTCTGTTACTGCGACAACAAAGCCATTAAAAACGCTACAGACGCTACTTGCCTCGTTCTCAGTCCGTTTAGTACAAATGATCCAACGTGGAACTACTTCAGCTCACAGATTTATCTGCAGAAATTGAAGTTCATCGTGCGAGCGCCTAACTGGCTCGATTATATACCCGTTCAAGTGTTCAGACAATTGAAAAACTTGCATGTCATCACGTTCCAAGATGCTAACATCGAGGAATTGACGGAGTACGCCTTCTCGAATCTGCCTACGATCGGGGAGATCAATTTGAGCAAGAATTCCATCGCTACTTTGAGGATGCACGCGTTCGAGAATATGAAGAACTTGTCTGTCATCAATTTGGACGAGAACGAGATCACTGAGATTAACAGGTACGTTCATTTTCAATTTTGTTTAATTTTTAAAATCCCAAGAATAATTGGAGAGTTTAGAGGATTGGTCTTGGAGGGGTTTAGATACTCAAGTATGGGACATTCAGATATTTTATATTGTAAAATACAGAGAAATTATGATTTTTAAAGTGTGAATTGAAATTTTGAAATTTGTTCATGCTCATTCCACGTTAAATCCATCACTATCAGACGTCACCATCTGCGATTTGGCTCTAATTAAAATATGTTGTAGTCCACGTGAAATTAGGGGGGGTTTAAGTCATCATTTTGCCGGTTTCGAATTTGTTAAGAAATAACAAGCTTTCAAAGTTTGCAATTTTTACCCACCTTTGCGAAAATAGGCTTTACTCACGAATTTTTTTCTCAGAAACTACCTAACCGATTTAGCTAAATTCTTTTCTGTTTTGTTCACAAAGAATTGGGCTATTCTTAAATATTTTTTTTATCTCCATCAATTTGTTATAAAATATCAGAAAATTTAAACGAATTCTTTTCTTGTGTTTTTTTTCAATGAGGTATTGTTTAAATTTTTCGAAATTTTATGACAAATTGTCGGAATTAAAAAAAATATTTTAAAGTAGCCCTATTCTTCTTGAATAAAACGAAAAAGAATGGAGCTAAATTCGTTCAGTAGTTTCTGAGAAAAAAATTCATGAATGAAGGCTATTTTCTCCTCTCTCAATATCTATCAAATAAAACGTTTCCCCGTGTCCTATTTTTCAAATTAATCCAGTATCGGTTTCAGCAAACATCAGTTAGACTTGTTAAAGCAACTTGTTAGCTGCAAATTAAATACAGAACGATCGAGCAGACGTCCCAATTACTATAAATAAATAAATTTTCTGAATGGATAAAAAGGTTTACTTTCACCGTTCGTTTGCTGCTGAAACTGCCTCTAATCGTGTTTCCCAATTATTTGTGCGTTTAAACATCGAACCGCTTGTTACTCGATCCGATGTTTAACGAGCATCTTGTTAAAATAATTATACAGAAAGAAAATATGTACAAAGCGCGAAATGGAAAGCACACACGAAAGTCTGTAGAGTTCCATTTTCTCCGATACGCCAGCCATTTTCCCTCGCGATAATTCGCAGATTACGCGTGATTACGCTCTACTCGAATAATCGATAAACTGTACGTTTCATTTGTTAATATTACATGCACGTAAATTTCGACGAAATCGATCGCTGTTTGCTTTTCATTACCTTTGATCGTTTCGAGCAATTATAAATGTTTGATCCGTGAACGAGCCAAGGAAATTACATTTTTCGATGGTTAGTTGGTTCTCTATGTTTTTGCTTGCCTTCTTATTTTTTGGGAAAAAGTTTCTAGATTTTTATATTTTTACTTATTTCATATTTAGGAATTTTTTATATTTTTTACTGTTTCTAATTTCTATATTTACAAGCTTTTAAATGATTCATGTTTTTTAAATTTGTAGTAATAGTCTCTTCAATTTCTATATTTCGATAGTTATAAATTTTTAGGGATTTTTAAATATTACAAATTTTGACATTTTTACTATTTTTGCTCCCTGCAATTTTACATCCTCTAATTCCTACATTTTCAGACTTTTAAGTTTTAAATATTCCATGTTTGTGAATTTTCACTATTTTGTGCATCATCAAATTTTCACATAAAATCAGCTGCAAAGTCACACACTCTTTCGCAAAATGAAAATACCCTCGAATCGAGCATTCCAAAAGCAAGAAAATCCGAAATTTGAGAAACGATGAGAAAATGTCAAATTTCTCTAGTTCCGTATGTTGGAAATTAACCGGTCCTCGCGGCCCAATTTCGATACATCGATCTCACATTAATAGTACGCGTGTATTCGAATAATCATAACCGTATTATCCGTGCACATCCATCCGTGGATCGTTCTCGATCGATTAGCCAAACAGCCGATTACCCGGATCTCAAGAGCCTCGGATCTCGGTGCTTAGTCGTCGAACGAGGCGTGTCTATTCGATTATCAGGGAAGCTCGTACAATTCACCGAAACGATTTCACGCCACGAAATTCCTCTTGCATCGTGAACTCGTGGAATTCCATGGTAATTCATGTGTCTCGGAATTCTTGCAGTTAAAACACTTCTCGTATGTGCTTATATGTGTGCTCGGTCGTAAACGTTTTCAGTTTCACTCGGGGCCTTCGTAATTGGACATAATTGAAAGAATCAGGCGGAATTGCTCGGGGTGTGTCATGAGAGTTTCTTGACATTTGAATGTAAAAATAATACTCATACGTGAGAACATTAAAATTTCAGTGCTTTGGTCTTGTTTGATTTGGGTAATTTATAAAAGGTAAAAGATTATTGTAATTTGATACAGGGTGTCTCACAATTGTAGCTGACGTGATTCTGAATAGGATTTCCCTTTGCAGAAATGGGGTGTGAAGCTTCGTTTTTGAATTATTAAGGAAAAACACGGACCAATCAGAGCGCGAGATTGCGCATGCGCAGACGCGAGAGCGACAGCTTCGAGCTAGCGGCTGAGCGCGTAGTACTTACCACGCGTTGTATTTACCACGTGCTGCACTTACCAC